ATATACACTTATCATCGGGTGTGCAAGCTATGACATCTAAGTCGCAAGGGCCGTCAAAAATGGGGTGTCTGCACTATATTTGTTGTGGTTGACTACAGATGTGAATATTAACATTTTACGTAAATTAGGTATATGATCTATCCACAAATATACTAGAATTAATGTGAATTTCCACATCTATTTATTACATTGTGAATATTCACATCATGTTTGGGTTCAAATAAACATTTGTGGTTAGTGGTCATACATCACCATTGCATAATGGTAATGAACGCAGTGAAAACATATGCACCATTTAATGTTATATGGTTGTGTGAATATTCACACTAATTGACAACACAAATGACAAATTTTCATTACAAATTAATGTCAACATTAACACTGATTAATGATGTGACGATGTTAACAAAAAACCAGAAACAACAAAACTAGAAATCTAAAAAATCTCAATCTCTCTAAAAAAAATAAAAGTAAATCGCCATCCTCATCGTCATCATTATCTTCATCATTATTACTATCATTAATAACCTATATAATTCCACCATTATACTAATCCACATAAACCAAACCGACATTTGAAGAACAAGTTTGTAACAAAATTGAGCTTCGAATGTTTTCTCTCCATTTGATTCAAATCTTTCTCTCTCTCTCTCTCTCTTCGATCTCCTACTGAAATCACAACTATGGCAGAAAACAAAGTCTCTAACCTTCATCCAACAATTCTCAACTTATAATGTCCCTACAATCTTTGGCTGTAACGAAACAGAGCTTCAATCTACAATAATGGAGGAACGCATAGCTTCGAACATAAAGTAATAATGGACAAACATAGAGCTTCAAAAATAAAGTAACAATGGAAGAATACAAAACTTTACTGCAATAATAGAGGAACACAATATTCTTTGGCCACCGCGTGTAAACTAGAGATTCGAAACCATATCATGCAGAGATTCAAAATGTATCATAATCCCTACAAAATCGATGTTCACCAAAATTGCTTCTAACAGACTATGGAAACTTGAATATTACAACTATGTGAAATACATACTACCAAATAAAAAAAAGAGTATAATAGTCCCTAAAAAATTATAAATTAGGAAAAAAATGATCTCCTGGTATAGAACTTTAAATATATGGGACTTGTTGAAATATAAGAATACTTTATGCACTTACTAGGTTATAAGTCAACTAGATAAGATTTATACATAAATCTTCACACTTTTTAATATTTTTTTACATATTTTAAAGACACTTTTTATATACTTTGCAACTTTAAATAATACTTAAGGAATACTTGTTAACATTTGCTTATATAGAATATATGACTGTAGAATAAAGTACAACACACCAAAGTCATATATTTAAAGTAAAAAATTAAAAGCACCTCTCGTTTAACTTTTAGATAATCAATTTATGTAAATTGTTTTAACCTAATAAATTAAAAATAGAAATTGTACCAAATAGTTTGACTCAAACTCTTAAATTAGAATAAATTATAATAATCTCTTTTAGATTGTAACAAACACTCCTCTATCATTGTGATTGAAAGTAAATTTCTTCTTTCTAAAAATCTCAAACATTTGCTTTTTCGAGACTACAAAAGAGATGACTAGGGGTGATGAACGAATCAAATAACTCAAGTTCGACTCGTTAGAAGCTTGTTCGAGTTCCATTTGTTAAGTAAACAAGCCAATTTTGAACATATTTGGGAGCTTGTTAAAGTTCTCAAATAAAATTTGAACAGTCAATTGCTTATTCGACTCAGTTCGATGAGTCTAAATATATATAAAAATGTCAATTCGACTCGACAAAAACTCATTTGAAATCAATTCAAAAATTTAATAAATAAAACTTGAACAAATTTCAAAACTTATTAAAATTATCAAACCAAACTTAAACAGTTAGGGTCTGTTTGGTAACGTTTACGTTTTCAGTTTATACTTACAAAAATTTTATAAACTGATTTTTGTTTATTTTTAGAAAAACATAAACTATAAACGCGTTTGGTAATTGACAAACTGTTTAAAAAAAATTTAAAATATAAAAAAGAGTGAGAAATGGCAAGTGGCGACGGAAGACGGTGGTGGAAAGTGGTGACGGTGGGTGGTGGGTAGCGGGTGGTAGTGGGTGGTGGCCGGTGGGTGGTGGTGGTGGACGGGTCGCAAGGGCCGTCAAAAATGGGGTGTCTGCACTATATTTGTTGTGGTTGACTACAGATGTGAATATTAACATTTTACGTAAATTAGGTATATGATCTATCCACAAATATACTAGAATTAATGTGAATTTCCACATCTATTTATTACATTGTGAATATTCACATCATGTTTGGGTTCAAATAAACATTTGTGGTTAGTGGTCATACATCACCATTGCATAATGGTAATGAACGCAGTGAAAACATATGCACCATTTAATGTTATATGGTTGTGTGAATATTCACACTAATTGACAACACAAATGACAAATTTTCATTACAAATTAATGTCAACATTAACACTGATTAATGATGTGACGATGTTAACAAAAAACCAGAAACAACAAAACTAGAAATCTAAAAAATCTCAATCTCTCTAAAAAAAATAAAAGTAAATCGCCATCCTCATCGTCATCATTATCTTCATCATTATTACTATCATTAATAACCTATATAATTCCACCATTATACTAATCCACATAAACCAAACCGACATTTGAAGAACAAGTTTGTAACAAAATTGAGCTTCGAATGTTTTCTCTCCATTTGATTCAAATCTTTCTCTCTCTCTCTCTCTCTTCGATCTCCTACTGAAATCACAACTATGGCAGAAAACAAAGTCTCTAACCTTCATCCAACAATTCTCAACTTATAATGTCCCTACAATCTTTGGCTGTAACGAAACAGAGCTTCAATCTACAATAATGGAGGAACGCATAGCTTCGAACATAAAGTAATAATGGACAAACATAGAGCTTCAAAAATAAAGTAACAATGGAAGAATACAAAACTTTACTGCAATATAGTGTTGGATTGTAAAAAAAAAAAAACTCAAAACTCAAAACGGAAACACCTTTTTTGAGTTTACATTTTTTTGGTCAGATTTATAAACTGAGACCACTGATTTATAAATCAAGAATTTTACCAAACAAGTTTTTATTTGAATTTTTAAAATTTTTGTAAATATAAATAAAAAACTAAAAACGTAAATGTTACCGAACGGCACCTTAACTGTTCAGTTCAGTCAGTATTTTTATCAACCTAGTGATGGGTGTAATTTATTCATATTTTATATAAATAAATGAAAAATGCTTGGGAGCACTAATTAGTGCTCCCACTAATTAGGTGGCAGTGGGTCCCGCCATTAATGATGTGATGTTTTGGTCTTGGAGTTGTACGCTCGAGCGTTTTTTTTTTTTTTTTTTTACTTTTTTAATGCATTAGTGCTATTAGTGGTGATGTTTTTAGTGGGATGAATCATTGTTGTAAATAAATTGAATTACACTAATAACATGTTCGCCTACTATTGGTCTGTTTTAGTGCTGTAATTTGGCATTATTTCTTGCGAAACAAACCAATAGAGAGAGCAACGCAAAGCGAGGCGAGTACAATGTGCCAACAGCGCTTATCGTTCCCACTTCTCAGTCCCCTTCAGCTCTGCACCACCCACCAGTTACTCTCTACTAGACCCGCCACCCAGCCCTAGCTCTCTCTCTCTCTCCCTCCCTCTCCACCATCATCATCGCTCAGTCAATTCACAGACCCATCTGTTTCATCATCCTTGTTTGCTTTCAATCTCTCTCTCTGCAACTGCAATCCTTATGTTGAAGCGTTTGAATGCGTGATCATCGTCATGTATATAATCAATCAGTTGCGCTTCGCTGGGCGTCGAGGACTAAGTTTCTGTCGTCTTCTCCTTCTCTCTCTACAGCTGCTGCCTCGTGTTCTTCTTCGCGTAATAACCAATCAGTGCCGATCTTTCAGCTTCTCCTCCACGTTTCGTTCTGTTCCGCGGTGGAGTAACGGCGTCGATTGGAAGTCTCCGGCGACTCTGACTTTGAGCGAAGGATCGCCACCATGGGTACTAAAAGAATCTTATGTTCCTATGAAGTTGTATTTTTTTCTTTTTTATTATTTTTTTATTTTTTAAATGGTACTTAGTTCATTGCTTATGTATTAGAAGATTTTGAATTTTTTACTTTATTTAAAAACTGTACTAGAACTATTTTTGTAATAAATGTAATGTGCTAATTCAAACTATTTACAACGGTATTTTGATGTCATTTTTACAGTATAAATCTTAATGTCGATTTTATAGTTTCGGTTTGAATTAGACGCTTTCAGAAGTTGCAATTAATAGTAAAATTTTGCAATCCTTTTTTTGTTGGCTAGTTAATTTTTTGCAATTTTGTCGTTTGTCTGTATGTGTTCAGCATCCGCGCATGCTTTCAAAGGAATATTGACTGGTCTTCCCAAGCTAGGACGTGGCTAGTTTGGAAAATTCTAGAACTTGCCCGCTCTGAATGATCCAAGGATCGGTAATTATCTTGAGCTTGTTCTGGAATTGTAACTTGTATCTTTTTTTTATTATTTATCTTTTGGCTAAAAATTACTGCATGAATGCCATATAAACAGTCTATATACCCCCCAAAAGAAAAAAAGATTGTGATACTTGTTATTAAAGGAATGCCTTTTATTCTCGAGTCAGTTGTCATGTTGGATAATATTTTCTTTGTCTACTTTGTCCTTCCTGATTTTAAAAAAAAAATTCTACTTTCCCATGTTATTGTTGTAGTTACATGTGTAATCTTGAGCCACTTTTTTCTTGTATAATTTTTCATTCTCAAGTAATATTGCTTTATATTTATCAATTTTATATACAACAAATGAACCTTTGAAATGCTTTTAGTAGAAATATCCTTCTCACCATTACTGGTTTACAAGGTTTTGTGTTTATGTTGTATCCTTGACTTATCACGATTTTTTTCTTTTTTTGTTTCCCCTGTTTGCATGAACGGATATGCTGCCATACTCTATTAGGATCCTTCTTGAATCAGCAATTCATAATTGCGACAACTTCCAAGTCACTAAGGAAGATGTTGAGAAGATAATTGATTGGGAAAACACTTCTCCGAAGCAAGTTGAAATTCCCTTCAAGCTTGCTCGTGTTCTTCTGCAGGTTTTTGTGATTATTCTTCTTCATAGTGTCAATAGACATGTATCCAACTTCTAAAACTCTTCTTTTGTGCCAGGATTTTACTGGTGTACCAGCTTTGGTTGACCTTGCTTGTATGCGTGACGCCATGAACAAGCTTGGAAGTGATTCTAACAAGATCAATCCTTTGGTGAGTGTCATTCTCATTACTGCATTTATTTTATCCTCCAAGAATTAGATTCCTGAGGTAGTTGCTTTTGGATATTAAGTCTGTGCAACTCCGTCTCCCCAATCCCAATAGAGGTCCAGCCCTGTCAATTTGAGTAGGAACTTTAAATATTGGGAATGATAACTTGTAGATTAAACTTGCCTGCAAATCCTTTCATCCATCTTTTTTTGTCACATTATTTTCTGTGTCAATGTTTGTAGTTAAACCTTTTCCTTCCTAGTCCTGGAAAACTCCATAAATGAACCTTATTTAAAAAATTTAACTTCATGTGGTGCATACATTTCATTTCAAGCCATGCCTCAACTGTTATGTTACCATATCATTAGCATTTCTTTAGGCGTACTTTTTTGGCTACAGTTTTCCTTTCAATGATCTGTTTATGCAATATCCTACATGCAGGTTCCTGTAGATCTTGTAATTGATCAAGATCAGAAAATGCAGTACAGGCAAATATGGAGCTTGAATTCCAAAGGAACAAGGAGAGATTTGCTTTTCTCAAATGGGGATCAAATGCATTCCAAAACATGCTTGTTGTTCCTCCAGGTTCTGGTATTGTGCACCAGCTATGGGAGCTTGACTGAGCAGCTTCATCATATTATAGAGCTTTAATATATTGAATTGCATATCTATCTCAATATTTTTTATGTGCAATTATGTATAATCACTGTATAAGATTTTCATTTCAAGCTTTGTGTTAATTTTTTTTTAATTTTTTTATATATATATTACAAAGAGATGCTTGGCAATGTAGTTGTCTTTTCATTTTCAATTGTCTTACCATTTTCTTCGTCATGTATATAATTTGAATTTATTAATTGGATTGTCATTATGGCATTTCAGATTAATCTTGACTATCTTGGATGTTTTGTCTTTAACACTGATGGTATGCTCTATCCAGATAGTGTGGTTGGAATTGATTCTCATACTACTATGATTGATGGATTAGGGGTTACTGGCTGGGGAGTTGGAGGTATTGAAGCAGAGGCAGCAATGCTTGGCCAGGTAAATAATGCTATTGAAGTGATGGAAAATTGTGAAGTTTTCTCCATACTTGGGACGAAAATTGATGAATTTGTTTTCTTTGACCATAATCACTATGTTTATGATGGTTGTGGTAGTAGCATAAGCATGTGCATTTCCTTTTACATAATGCTATCAAAGCACTCAACGAGGTATAACTCAATGCTAAGAAGCATAGACACGGGGACACGGCAATTTCAAAAAAATAGGACACGGACACTGCAGGGACACAACAATAAATTATG